ACAGCTTGCTTATTCTTGTAGTAGCCAGTCATGCTGACATTTTTGTTTTGGGTTTTTCCTGATGATCTTTCTTTGAAGATGTATCTTCTGTCATTGTAGCTGTTCCAGGCTGGTCTGCTTGTGTGAATGTCCCACCTCATACGGTTCTGGATGGGACTCAGGATTCCATCTAAGGTCCTATACTCTGTAAAAGCTTTGCACGAGGCCTATTTCACTGGACAAGTTGTAGAACCCCTTTTAGGTTTTCCAATCAGTTATAGGCTTACAAGTTTTCTCTTATCATGGTTCCCAACATTCCTTCCTATGCCACTCAACTGTATATTCTACAATAGCAGGCAAGGGAAACTAGTATTCATAAGACAATCAAGCATTTTAGTATTATTTACCCTCTTCAAGCTATACCTAGATCCCTGTATCCCAGAGCCCTGCTGTTCCAAGTTGAGCATGCATCAGTATTTACCTCTGTCCCACTTAGGACATGCAAACCTGTCTCAGTGTTCCCCTATCTATCTTGTTCTTCAGTCTCCTCCGCCTTGTTGTATTGCCCTCCCCAACACCCAAACTAAACCCTCCACCCCAACCCCATTGTGGTTACCTTATATTCCATTAGTTCTTTCCTCCATTTAAGATAGAGTCTATTTTATCCAGTAATCTACCTGACTTTCCCACCACCTGGATCTCTGTTCCTCTGTGTTTACCTTCTTTCACATTGTAATTGTTTTGATCATAGACTGACCTCCCAGATCCTCTGTTCTTATAATTTTATTCTGTTCTTGACTTTTCCATTTGTCGATTGAGTTTAAGGTGATGCTGCCACATACGTCATTCTCTAGTTGTTGTCTGTTCTTGTTGGTTCTCAGTCCACAGAACTTCCTTTAGGATGTTTTTCATAGCAGGGTTGGCTTTGGCAAAATCCCTTAGCTTCTGCTTATCCTGGAATGTTTTGATTACACCATCGTATTTGATTGACAGCTTTGCTGGGTAGAGGATTCTTGGGTGGCAGTTTTTTTTCTTTCAGGGTTTTATATATGTCTCCCCATTGTCTTCTTGCCTGCATGGTTTCTGTTGAGAAATCCGAGCTTAATCTGATTTGCTTGCCTTTGTATATTACACTTCTCTTCTCACTAGCTGCTCTCAGGATTCTGTCCTTTATCTTTGATTTTGGAAAACTTGATTATTATTTGTCTTGGTGATTGTCTTTTAGGGTCTATCCTTTCTGGGGTTCATTGAGGTTCTTGAATGCTTATCTTTTCACGTTTCAGGATGTTAGGAAAATTTTCTTCCAGAAGCTCTTCAACTATCTCCTATATGAACTTGTGTGATTCTTCCTGTTCCAGAATGCCAATAATTCTTTAGTGATTCCTCTTCATGTTGTATAACATGAATCCTTGATACATTTTATAATCATTTTTCTGAATTCCTTCTCAGGCATTTCCAAAGCCTGCCCATCTTCCGGTATGGAGTGTAGGTCTACTTCCAGCTCATTTGCCTCAGTCACTTTATCTCATTTCTGGACATGTGCTGATATGGTCATCTGCTTCTGTTTTTTGGACATATTCAGGAGTTAACTGTGGCCTTAATACTTAGATGGGTGTGTATTTTGGTATTTTTTTTATGCTTTCTGATTGTCTCCAGGTAGATGTGATCAGGAGATAGGCTTCCCTTTTCACTCGTCTTCCTGAGAAATTTCAAGATGCCACTGTTGGTTGTTGTGATGTAACTCAGGATTTAATTTTCGGCCTATTTCCTTTAAGTCTGCCTGTCCCACTCCACAATATCCTTTCAGCCCTTTTTTCTAGTTGAAACAGTTCAGGGCCAGCTCTGGCCATTTGGTTTTAAGTGGAAACTGTCTCTTTAAATTTTGAGGAAATCTGTGTGCATGTGTAGTGGAACCCTATGGGAGTTGGGGTGCAGTGTCCACTTGCTCAGGCACCCCCTCTAGTCACCAGAATGGAGGTGTGCAGACAGCGAGAGACCAATGAACAGATACCAAAAAAGCGCCAGAATGTTCACACCTTATCTCCATGATTCTGTCAGGCGTCTGTGGCTGCTTTGATCCTTCCCCAGCTTGGTCTTGCTCCGGGAGCAGCTGAGCATCTTGAATTAGAAAGCAATGGAGTTCTTGCTTCTGCTACCAATTCCCCTAGCTGGAAGCCTTCCAACCTTCTAAATATTCCTTTATATGTGGTTCAGAGTTCTGGAACCATCCCCTGAGCCTGCTTGGTCCGGTATTCTGTGTTGTTGTTGACGGAGCTCCTCACTGCACTTCCACCTGATCCGCCATCTTGTTTGTTCTCCTCCACAGGGTTTTCAATGACTGGTTGTTCAGAAGTAGATTGCCAGGCCTTTCTTCCAAGGTGCTCCTGGGTGGACTCAAATTATAATGTTGCTTAAATATGGCAAATTATTCCATTATTTGGAGTCCTGGTGTGGCACTGTGGGTTAATAAACTGGACTACAAAGTTGACTTGAACCCACAAGTCAGCAGTTCAAACTCACCAGCCACTCCTAGGAAACCCTATACAGGGTTAGTATGAACCGACTTGTCAGAACCGACTAGACGGCCCTTAACAACAACAACATTCCATTATTTGATTTTACTATAATAGTTTTATATGACTACAGTCACTAAGAAAATTAAGAATTATTTTTAAAAAGTAGAAAGAAAAACAATACTGTGAGCTTTTTACTGTAGATTAATATTTTACATATATAGTGATATGATGATTTTCTGTTATATTTCCTTCCAGTCTTTTTTTGTTTTTAATTTCAGTTTCTATTCCTATGTTCAGTGAAACTTCCTTGGTCCTATTTATTTCGTCTTTTCCAGAAGCCTGCTTTCCTTTTCTGTTTCATTTTTGTTCTCATGTGTTTCTCCTTTGAGGTGAGTTGCCTTACATTTTCCTTGGCTAATGACGCAGCTGTTCCTGGTTGAGTGACTTGACCAGATTCTCTTTGATCCTCCGTGTTTTACTCACATTTCCCACCCTTTCTGATCCCGTGAGATGGCAATCCCTTGCCATTCTCAAGGAGTCTCCAAAAAACAGTCTGGGAAAATTTTGAAATTTGGAGTTTACCCCTACAGTGCTGGAAGAAGTGGGTAACCACCTCGGATGACTATTATTCTCATAGGGAAACTGAGGATGAGGATCTGACATGTTATTAAATAAAGCCAGCTGTGAGTGCTGTAGGATCAGCGCTTGGCTGCTAACTACAAGGCTGACAGTTCAAATCCATCAGCAGCTCATCAGAAACCCTAAACAGCGGCTATCAGCGGGAACCCACTGGAATGAAGGCGCTTAACAACAATGCCATTCTTACTGTGCTAATAATTAGGGTTCCTCTCCATGCTATGGAGTCCTGGGGTGGCGCTGTGGGCTAATGCGTTAGACTGCAAAGTCGTTTGAACTGCAAGCTCGGTGGTTCAAGCTCAACAGCCGCTCCTTGGAAACCCTATACAGGGTCGCTATGGGTCGAAATCGATTCCACGGCACTTAACAACACCAACTCCATGCTATAATAGAGCCATAGCTATGGTGGCGTTGGAGCCAGCGTAGGCGCCAGAGCCCCGCTGGCTCCTTGGGGTTTCTGCAGAAGAATTTTCTCTGTGGTTTCTTAAACCCGCAGGCGCGAGGCGGGAGGCCGGCCCGGGGTGGGGCTGGCGGGAGGCGGGAGGCGGGCCGAGGCATAAAAGGAAGTCGGCAGAGCATTGGCTGGGTAGTCTGCCGTCTCCTCGACGCTGCTGGGACGCTTCCTTCATCTCGGTCTCCGCGCCTCAAGCCCCGTGTACTCCTTCCCGAGGTCCGAGCCGCAGCTAGTGAGTGAGTGTGCCTTCTCTCCTTCTGGCGCCCCCGCGCTTCTCTGCGCTTCCTTCTTGGTCTGAGTTAAGCTTAAATCCGGGGTCTCCCGTCTCCTTGGCCACAGGGCTCGGTGCCAGTCTCTGCACGCCAAGCCCTCCTTGGCCGGGTCCTAGGCCCCCTTGCACCTTGGGGCGGGAGCCGAGGCGGGGAGACGGGAGATGCCGGCCGCCAGGTGCGAACCTCCGGTCAGAGTCTCCCCGCTCTGGACGCCCCACGTCGGTCGGCTCAGCAGATCACATCCTCCCCCGGCGTCGTCCGCCTGGGTTCCCTTCGCGGGGCGGGGAAGAGGACTGAGTCCCCGAGGCCCGGTGCCCCCGGAGGGACTTCCCCGCCCGAACTGGGGAAACCGGAGTGGGAGAGAAGCGGACTCCGCGCGCCCCGGCGTTTTCTGTTTTGGAAAATGCCTTTGTTGCCTCCTCTCCACGTGAGCCTTATTTTTTTGTTGGTGGTTTGTGGAGCCGCCGCCAGGCCACGATAAAAATGGGGCCTCCGACTTCTTACAGGAGGGACGAGTGAGGGCTTGGATCCCCTCCTACCCCTCACTCTCGCACGCGGGTCTGTGTGGACCGTCCAGTTCCAAAGAGACCACCAATAGGAAGAGAAGGGATTAAGCTCATATCCCTATTTCAAGGCCACATTCAGTACCCAAAGTTAGACCTCGGAATTGGGTCTGGGCACTTTCCCCGACAGCTGCCGGCTAGTGATGTACCTTCATAACTGTTTAGAGCTAACCAAGCGTGGTCAGAAGGGTCGCCTGCCAGACCTCTTCACTTCCCATTTTAGGACAGCTTGAAATTATGTGCAAGTACTTACGGCTGCTAGAAAAGTCGGGCCTAGAGACCCCTGAGCACCATCAGCCGCCAAGTGGTTGGACTGGCTGAGAGTTATTCATTCATTCACGAAACAAATATGAATGTGCCACCCAGTGATAAGGCAGTAGTGGTGGTAATGAAGGAATGGCGTTGAGAGCACGGTTAAGGTGCCGGTTAAGGTGCCGATAGAATTGGCAGTGAGTTTGGGCCTGAGCTTCTAGATTAGATTGGCCTTAATTTGGCCAGCCTGGGGAAGGGTGAGGAGTCCATAGGGACCCAGAACAGGACCCCTGGCCCCAGGCAGCTGCTTAATCCAACCCAGACTGAAATTGTGCTATTGTCAGGCATTCCGGCCTTTCCTGGAAGTCTTATCTGCTTGCTGCAAGCCTCATTCTCAGTGGCATCATATCTGGCCCCTCTCTCTCTAGAATGCAGCTTCAGAAGGATGTGGTTTCCCTGCTCCCATTCCATCGTCACCCTTCCAGGAGGTAGCTGATTCCCAGAGGGAAAGGGCTCTCAGGGCCTGGATCTGTGCCATAGCGGAGTGAACTCTGAACCAGGCCCTCAGAGTCCACCGGGAATCCATGACTGGGCTTGCCTGTCCTTGTTTTGGAGTCGGGAGGAAAGTGGGAAGGGTAATGCCCTGGTTTCAGAAGTGTAGGTGGGCAGCATTCTCATGAGGAAAGAAGACACTTGCCCAAGAAGAGTGGTTGGTTGGTTGTTTCTCTGTCCACTGCCACTCCTTCCCAGGAAAGGAATATTCACCACCTTTAGGGACTGTTGGGTTGCTGTTCCTTCTGAGGAGGTTGGGTTCCGGGCTGGCAGAGGTGAGGCTATCTGAGGTGTGGACTCTGAAGGGTGAATAGGAACTGGCCAGATAGAAAAGATAAATGCAGGATAGTGGTACAGAGGACCCTTGTGAGTACAGTGAATGTTGGAGGAGGGATGCTTAGGTAGGAAGAAGTGTGTTATATGCCTTGCCCTGGGGAACTCACAGCCTTGGCTAACATGAGGAAATTAACGGAGAAGCTGGAGGTCCCACCATTTGTAAAGGGGAATGACCTGCCCAGGAGCCCCTCAATGCCATTGCTCCTGGACTCAGAAAGGAAAGATGAAGGGAGAGTGGCCGTTTGAAAACTGAGCCTTCCAGGAGTCTCAGTTTTGCGAAACGCCAGTGAGTGTTGATTCCAGTTCTGTGAGGTGGAGGGCTTAGCGACTGGGCTGACTCACCGGTTTTGGGTTGAGGGTAATACCTTATTAATTGGCTGCTGAGATCTTTAAAACCTGACAGAATCACGGCCAGATGGTGGTGTGTATGTCTTGGTAGTGGCATCCAGAACACTGACTCTAGGAAAGCCTCGCTCTAGAACTGGAAGTGTGCTCTGTGTGGTTTGTTGGATGTGAAGAGCAGCTTGCGCCTGGTGTACCCAAAGGCCAACTGGTGTGTCTGTCACACCCCAGTGGGCCTCCCCATGCTCAGGATCTGATTATAACAGTACCTCAGCTGCCACAAAGGAGCCCGGGTGGTGCTATAGGATACGTACTAAACTACTAACTAGTTCAAACCCACCAGGTGCTCCATGCATGAAAGGCGAGGCTTCCTGCTCCTGTAAAGATTTATAGCCTCAGAAACCGTATATAGGGTGGAAATCACCTTGGTAGTAGTGGGTTTAGTGGTGACTGACATAGCCACAGCCAGGTCTTAAAAGACAACAATGAAGGCTAAAGAGGAGGCAGCCAATCTCCCACAGTTTACAGCGCTTACTGTGTGCCAGGTGCATATAGAGAAATTTACTGTGATAATTTGCTTGTGTAGACGGCATAGGGATCCCAGATGAGGTCATCACCCCATTTTTCAGATGGAGAAATTGAGGCATAGAGCATGTAAGGAACCTACCCAAGTCACAACCCAGGGAGTTAGACCCCAGAGTCCTTTGCACATACTGCTTAGATATATAGGCCTCTCACTGCGCCATTTTCCAAATTTAACCCATCCACCTCCACACCCCGTTTCTGTTAAGCCCTACAGGGTGAGGAACAGAGAGAATGACCATGGCTGTTCTGTGGCACCCAGGTTAGAAAGCAGCTCTTCTCAACTCAAAGGGAGTGCCAAGGATGAAACTTATGGGGGCAGTGCAAACCGGGTGAGATTTTGCCTCCCACAACACTCTCCCTGTCAGTCTTTTAACTCCTCTTTCCTCCTGCTTGGGTTGACCCAAATAAGGAAGAGCAAAATGAAAAGCAAACTTGAACCACAAAGCAAATTGAAGTCTTGGTTGGCTTTTTGGGTGTTGGTGTCCAGGGCCCTTAGAAAAGGTCATCCACTTAGAAAACAAGGAAGTGGTTCTTTAAACTTCTCTCTGCCCTCTGAACAGCAGATGTGCATTCCTGCATCCTGTCAGAGGGGCTGGTGGAGGTGTATGAGGGGTGTGAGTTTTACAGGGAGAAAAGAACACAGTCTGAACCATGTGTTTGGTATTGATGTTGTTGTTGTTAAATGCTGTGGAGTTGGCTCTGACTTAGACCCTGTATAGGGTTTCCGAGGAGCAGCTGGTAAGTTTAAACTGCTGACCTTGTGACTCAAACCGACCTTGCAGTCAGTCCAGTGGCCCTCAGTTGGATTCCAACTCATGGTGACCACGTGTGTGCAGAGTAGAACTTCCCCGAGGTTTGGAGGTAGAACACCAAGTCTATTTTCCGAGATGCTTGGGTGGGTTCAAACTGCCAGCCTTTTGGCTAGTAGTCAAGCTGACTCCTTTTCTGTACCATTGACCAGAGTTACAGAGTTAGACAAGGAAACTGTAATCACCATGCATCAGCAGACAGTCTGCCCCACTGGGAGGATGTCCGTAGACCCTTTCTTTATCTTGAGAACAGCAGTGGCCCCTGAGTGGGCAGCACAGAAGCTGAGCTCCCAACCCTAGGGACATACCTGGTGAATTTGCAGAGTTTCCTGCTTGAGCTCCTTCCTGCCTCCCCTGGACAGACTCCCAGCCTCAGGTGACAGGCTCCCACCTAAACTGATGGCTTCTCTGATGCCCACCAGGCCAAGCCAACCCCTGAGACCTGGGTTTCCTCCTCATTTGCTTAACCTGCTTTCTCAGATGAACAAATTCAGGCTGGTCTGAATGGTAAATGCGGGGTGGTGTGTGTGTGTTGGGGGTCCTCAACTTGCTGAACCTCCTATGTCCATTTAATGTCAGTGAGCCATTGACCTTGAGCTTTATTACTTTTTAAAATTGTAATACAAACATACACACAAACTTGACCATGAGCTTTCATGTGAGGCGAGCTCTCTCTCTTGTTGCTGCACTTGGTAGCGGTGCCTCCACAGCTGTCGGTTAATTAGCATAACTGCATGGCTTGTTTTAATCCTTGTGCTTTTTCTCTGAGACACTCTGGGCCCTTTTAGCAGAAGTGGGAACATTGGTGTGGCAGGCGTGCTTGTGTTGCATGAGTCCTGGGTCCAGGACTGGATCCCTGTGCCCCACCCCCCACAGAGGAAAATCCAAAGTGAAGGGACTTTCCCTGTGACCTCATTTGACCCCACTTCAGCCCCAGGAGGCAGCAAGTAATCCTTTTTACAGACTGAGGAAGTGAGGTCACCTTGCCTGCAAAGCCAGGTGCAACTAGTTCACCTGTAGCAGGAGCTCTCTGTTGGGCTAGGGATGAAGGCCTGGGCTTCTTAAAGTGCACATGGACCCAGAAGACTTAGGGCATGGAGCTGCTCTGGGGTTTAGACTGTTTCTCCAGGTGGGCCAATCCAGGTCAGAACTCGGGGGACTGAGGTTCAGATACGGGTACATTTAGGGGGTGGGAAAGCAGAACCCAAAAGATTCAGTGCCAGGTGGGGGACGTCAAGTACTTTGTGGACTGAGGAATGAGGGGCCTGGCAGCTGGGGGAGGGGCTGTGGTATGAAGGCACCTGGGCCCAGGAGCTAACACGTGGGTCCACTTAGGAGTAAGTTCAGGAGTGACCTAGAGCCTTGGTTCTGTGAAAGTAAACCAGGCTCTGAGGTGGTGGGCATTGGTGGGCCTCAGTTGCCCAAAGGCCAGCTGGGGAATGACTCATGCCTCACTGTCAGCCTCTCCAACACCAGCAAGTGAGTTATTAATAAAGGAGTTGCCATCTGGGAAGTCAGACCTGGCATCAGAAGAGATGGAGGGAAGTTCCTGAGTCGGGCAGGATCTCCTTGGAGACAGAAAGGTGGTGGCCTCCTCTGGGGTACAGTTGGGGGAGCCCTGGGCTTTGGTTGGAAGCCCAGTTGGTTCCTGGTTGGAAGACTTGGGACTGTCTCCCCTTCTTGCTGGCTTGGGCTCAGTGGCCTTTGTTGTGTATGCCTTGTGGGGGTGTGGGGGTGGGGTGTTGAGGAGGTAGAGGAAACATAGCTGGTATCAAGCTCCGTTCTGGGCCCCCTAGAACTCAAGACAGCCTGTGTTCTGGTTGAGGAGAAAACTCACTTTGGAACTTTTCCAACAGGCGCTTCTTCACTTACTCCTGTAAAGGACAAAGGGCAGGGTGTGGCTGGCCCTGGTGGG